AGGTTGATCATAGTCATTGGCATCTCCCTTGTGGCTAAATCAAACCATTCAGGAGTTTCTTTTTAGCGGTGAACAGGGACCATCTTTTCTTGAGACCCAGTTAACAACAACAACAACAAAAAGTCAGGGGCTGCAGCTGTATACGGGGTAAAAATGGGAGTTCATAACCCACTTGAATCAAAGTGTGAAATATGATATATCAAGAACTATGTAATGTTTTGAACAACCAACAATAAAAAATTAAAAAAAAAAGTCAGGGGCTGTTTCCAGGATTTCTCTTTTTCGTTCTAAATTCAAACAGAGTAAAAACTTATAAAGAGTTTTCAGAAATATGCTTGAATGAAGCCTATTTCAAACTGATATGTCAGTTTTAATGAGAATAACCCGTTTTTATTATCTTTGTATGTTTCTTTCCAGTCTTTTACACTTGTGTATATGTATATACACATATAAATCATTTGAATTCTGTCACATTCCTGTTTTAGTATTTTGCCATTTCCATTCACTTATGATATATCTTAAGTAAATTAGCAAATATCATGAGTTCAATCATTTCTAGCTTGGCGGAGGTGGGTTCCATATGTAGTGGAAAACAATAGTTTCTAAATCCTGGGAATCTGATGAGATTATCCATAGCCTGAAGAGGCTATTGTCAAGTCATAGGGAATCTTGTTTGGGTCTTTATGAATCACCCAGGTACCTACTGAACAACAAAAATTCAGATTGTTGAACCAGTGAATAGCTCTGTATCTCAGTCCCAGACATCATTGAACTAATTTACTGAATGTTCACTACCACTCAAGATTTTCAAATTCGCGTATTTCAAGGCTTACCTTTCCTTTTTGTACTTTCTGAAGCTGTCCCCAAAGCCAGTGGAATGCTCCTTTGAGAATGGTTAAAGAGTGCTATAAACCTTTTATTTGGGAACCTGATTTTCAAATGCCAAGAAAGGGTGTATGCTTCTTCAATACATGCTTATTAGCACTAAGGGGTACTGTCTGGCCAGGCCCTGCCAACTGACTGAGGATAAGATTCAAAGTCTGACATTAAATTTGTTTCTTTAACAGGTCTTTTCTGTATGCATGCTTCTGCCTCACAGAAAGCTAGCCAGCCTCAAATGATTAGAAAACATTTTCCTGAAGATCAAGTGTGACTCCTATGCCTCCCTCTATCTAGGGAGCAGTGGAAAGATTACAACCATGTTTAAATCCCAATATGCAACCCCAGCTCAATATGAAAAAATTCCAAAATAAGAAATAAGTGAATTCTCTCCAGAGATTCTCTGACAGTCCACAGATGTCAATCTGGCAGGATGCCCAGAACCTTAGATGGTACAATTTGGACACATCAAGTTAGTTCCTGTAACATCTCTGAATTCATCCTCTTTGGTTGCTTTCAGCCTAGATAGCGGGGCTAACTCAAAGCATGGATTATTTTTTCAAACAATTGTTCTGAAATGTATAGTAGAATGGCTCAGCTTGTCCCTGATTTTACTCAGTATTTCATTTTTCACTGGAGTTTTCACACATACCTGTGAATTCTACAGTTATTTTACCTTCTTTATTCTTCCTCATTATGCATGAAGTATTGGAGAGAGGTCATTTTTTTCTGGTTGAACACAGATACTCCTTTTCATCCCTTTCAGGGAGTTGGCACACCAGGCATGAGTGTGAGAATATGTGAATTAGGCCTGGTTTGTGAATTGGTTGTCATTTATTTTTATATTATATGCATAGTTGTCTCAGAACCATTGACCTTAATTTCTTTACCTGACAAATTGCATCCCTTTAGAAAAAAAAAAAAATGCTTATTGGGGATTAACTCAAAAGCACTGGGAAAACCTAAGAGAAAACAAGAAATTCTGGGTTTTCTTGGTTTCTTTTCAGGAAAAAGAAAACAAGCCAAATGCTGATGCTCTCTTGGGGGCCAATGAATGTGCATATCTAGTTTCTAAATAAGGAAACACACCACAAACTTGACTGTGATTGACTGGGTGATAAAATGCAAGGCCAAATCTTTGTGAGGTCCAAGGGTAGATACATAAACATATACAAGGTGTGTCTCATTTTTTAATCAGATTTAAAAGTCCCATAACTGTTGTGCCAGTTGCAGTGGTTGCTCTCTACACAGGTGCCATTTAATATAGTAAGTGCCTCATAGGTGCTAGCCATACTTGAGGTGCTCAGTAGCCATATGCTAGGCTACCATATTGTATGGAACAAATATAGGACATTCCCATCAGTACAAAGAGTTCCAATGGACAGGGCTATTGGATACTGACAAAACTTCTCTCTCATCCCTTCTCTACCTGGCTTGAAGCAGCACTGATCATAGCAGCACTGATCAGGACCATCTCATAAAATGAAGAGCATTCATAAGTAGTAGTGCATATATAAAGCATGCTATGTTTTTATACTTTCCTTCACCGAAACCCAGTATAAGAGTCTAAGATACACTCAAGTGAATGTTCTAGAGATTTATCAGTCTGTAATCAATACCTAATTTTAAAAAGAATTATATCAAAAGACAAGGGCTAGAAATATGCTGTTTTCCTTTAAATGTGAATTCTAGTTGATTCACGGTCTGAATGTTCACGACATCACTCACCTCCCCCTTCATCCTTTTTCTTACATCCCCCAAGAATTAGATTGATTTTATTATAAGTCCATTCCTCTCTGTTTATGGCATCACATCTATTTGATAAAGAATGCAACACTGGCAGGGATTTAAGTGTTTAACATGTTATATATGCAAAAAGAGTAAACATCAAATATAGATCCAAGCTAAATAGCTTAAAGTGCATTGTTTATCATGCCTTACTTTATTGCTAATCTCACATATATCGCACATCTAACAGGGAACAGGCCTCACACGTCCATAAATAGCCTACAAACTGAGCAACTGAATGAGCAATATTTAAACATAGCATTCATAAAATAGGTAATAGAATTACAGAGTTGACAGAGACCATAGAACTGTCAGAGAAATGGATGTCGAACCATTTTTTTTCAAAAATGAGTGAATTCAAATTCCAAGAGATGGAGTGCCTTAGTCACTTGATGAGTGGAGTCAGAATTAGACCCCAGCTCCCCAGACCTGAACTGAGGGTGCTGTCTTATTCATTATTTTTATTTTTATTTTTATTTTTATGCAGTGCCCAGGATGGAACCATGCATGCCAGGCAAGTGCTCTACCAATGAGCCACATCTCCAGAGGGCTGTTTTGGATCCTTGTTCTTTTTCCTAGTCTGACAAGGATAAGGGCGAGGAGTGGGGAGAAGATGAGAGAAAGTTGGCCTCTCTCAGATGTCAGAAGGGTGAGAACTCCTGGTGCCAGGCCAGCATCTAGGCCATGATGTCGCAGTGTGGCATGAGAGACAACTTTTCTTCTTAGCCTTATCAGCACTTCAAGTGCTCCACCTGGCTTCAAAGGTGCCACTTCCTAGAGGAACCTATATACTCAGCTAATGGGATTTCTGGAACCAGAGCATGAGAGTCCTGTTCTGGTTAATTCATTTTATTTGTGCCTTTACTGTCCAGTTTTGTCATGTATTTACCATGAAAAGCTCCAAGTTCTCTCATCCTACTTCTCTGAGCATTTATCATGAGGATTCAGAGATGTGGTTTTAGGGGACTGTAAATTTCCTATAAAGAAAAAATGAAAATCATCTTTCAGTCCGTAGCCTTTATTAAACTATCAAAGAATTTTTTTAAAAAGACTAATAACTTTTATAAAAAGAGGAAAGATGTACTTCTTAGAAGGAAGAAATAAACTGAACCCAGAAAAACTGGTATAATAGCTGTAGGTAATAATAAATATCATTTTAATAGAAATGGGCAATGTAAAGGAAGATAACACATTGCTTAAAAAGACCAGAAAGAAACAGGTTGAAGATACATTCCCTTGAATTCTCTCTCCCTTCATCCATTCATCCAAACTCTTTAGAGTTACAAATTTTGCACATGGTGGGGGCACTTCCGCCCTCTGTCTCCAGCACCACAGTGGGCTCAAGTCAGAGACTTCCTTTAGGTCATGGGTGGGGTTTGGATGCTTTGGCCCCCACACTGCCTGGCTGCACACCCTGCTGTAGTGCTTGTAGCTATGAAAAGCAGCAAACAGGCCTTCCACCAATCTATTTCTCTCACAAAAGGATTCTTGCAAACTCATCATCATCTGTCTCGGGTATGGCATGCCACCACAACAATGAAAAAGGACCTTGTGCCACTGCAGTGACCCAAAAAATGCAACACTGCTAATTAGATGGCTGTGGGAGAAAGAGAGAGCAAGACCCGAGACAGGAATATGGCAATGTTTCCTTTTTACAAAAAGCTGCTGGGCTCCTTGGGAAAACATGGTCCTAGAAGTATAGCTGGGTTTTGGCCAGAAGAAGCAGATAGAAGAACCAAGAGGGCAGGTATCTCTGCAACCATCCTATCACATCTCAGAAATGGTTCCCACCCTCAACATCCACAAGGGCAGTGGCAGCCACCAGTCATCACCTGCTGAGGGAGGAACCACGGACTCATATTTTTACCTTCCATGTCAATATTTAGGGAATGTATCTTCTAATATATTCTACTCAACTACAACAATGAAATGGAGAAATTCCATATACCCCAAAGCCCAATTTGTTAGTTATAACTTTGAACTAAAATTACTTTTAAAATTTCACATAGGGATACAAATCATGAATTTTAAAAATGTCTGTTGAACCAGATATATGAGCATTGTGAGCCGCTTGTGTGTGTGCCTACAGCATTTGATGACTGATGCTGTGCCATATTTCATCTGGTTCTCTGAATTCTCTCCCTCTCTCTCATTTTTCAGAGGTGTTGGCCTTCAATATCAGCCTTCCAAGGAGAGCACAGTAGTGCAACTGTGACCAGGGAGCAAACATTCCAGATAGGAATATTTTGGTAGATTTTAAAAGAAACTCACTGCTGTCCACTGACTTAGAAAATATGATACATTATAAACCTCTTCAATATCAAGAGGCAGGATATAATGATTTGTATATTTTATTTTGACTTTACATGCGGTGTTAAAAACCCAAAGTACATATTATTTACACATCCACAATACAAGTTTACAAGATATCTATACATGTTAAAGTACTCTATAAAACAGTATAGAGCCACTTCACTTTAGGGTTACTTTTTTTATGCCGTACCATTAAAAAAGATACAATCTGTGTTTACCTTTGCACAAATGGATAAAGCATTTAAAAATTAAATTAACAGGATAGAGACTAGAGTCAATGTTAGAAATTCCAACATAAATACTGATAGAACTCACATTACAAACTACAAGGCAGCACAATGTTACAAAATGTTATCTGGGGTCACACAGAGTTACCACGCTGGGATTAATATTGGTAAGGTAAATTCAAACACGTTTGTTGTTGGTGGACTGAGTAGTGTTTATCATTGGTTGGTTTAATTTATTATTAATCTGTAATATTTTAGTTGCAAAGCAGAAGTGTTTCAAGAACAGACATTTTAGCTTTTGAGCTTCCAGAGATCACAGGAAATCATGTTCTTTATAAAAACAATGTTCTCAAAGGAAAAGAATAACTGCATCAGTATTCTACATTCTGTATAAAAATGATCTGGTCGTCTGCATCCCATCCTCCCCCAAGTAACATCAGCATGATCACACGAAATCAGTTGAACTTATTTGTCTGACTAGGTCAGGAGCCTTCCTCTGCCGCGTTCCTTTCTAGATTAGGTTCAATAAACAATTGGGTGGTGTGCAGCATATTAACTGAAATAGTCATTGGGGTTGCACATCATCAACTGTAAGTGGTTTCTGCCAAACTATGCACAAATGACTCTAGATGGTTTCCGCAGGTGTCACATTCCCCGGGAAACCTCATTTGACTTCACATTATCACCATCTCATCCTTAGGAAAGCAGGAGTGGAATGTTTATCATGGCAAAGGAGGTAATGCTGCTATTCAGATGGATTGTTTAACAATTAATTGTTCTAGGTTGCTTTTATGGTTTCTGAAAAGTCTTTTCAGGTGCTGGTTGGAAAACATTTACAACTGGCACTCAGTAAATGATGTGCTATATTGAAAACACTTGACATATTTTAGTACTTCTATCATTCTCATGAATAAGGCACAAAATGCACAGATTCAGGTAAACTCACATGTGGTATTTACAGTATATTGTCATTACCTGCATGACTTAGGAGAAAATTCTCACATAACACAACATAGACAACGTGATTGCACCACGGGTGGGTCATATGGCCCTTCCTGCTAAGCCAATTACAATGTCCTCATATGCCTTTCTTTTGTCTTTTAATTTTATATTTTTCTTTTACCTTGGGGGTGGGAGGAGGTCAAGGAGGAAAAAATTAATATATGGGAAACAACCGAATACAATCAAAATAAACTCTTCATGGTGTGTCCAAGGTTAAATAGCGTGACTCAGGCTTTGATTCACAGTGGACGGGCAAATTTTACTACCGAATACTGGTGGATAAATCAAGGATACCTCATAATATCTCTAGCTTCTTAAGGTGGCAAGACTGGAATAGAAGTTTTAATGAATAGCAGCACAAAATTACTTGAAACTCTTACATTCTGGCATTGGGTACCACATAAATTAAGTTCATCATTTTGACAGCCAAAGGAGCCTCGATTGTGTTCCTTTCTCAAAGCTGAACCCAATGGGCTGTAGGAAGAAGTTGGTGTCTCGTTCAGTCATGCTCAATGTAAACAACTCCATAGCACAAAAAGACACAATGGGCACCTAAACACATCCTAGTGGGTGCAGAACTTCTCTCTCTCTCTCTCTGTCACACACACACACACACACATACACACATGCACACACATACTTGCAACACAGTTTGTTGGTGGCATGAAAAAAAAATGCCACACATGAAAAAAATGCTACAGTTTGGGTCAAAGACTGAATTTTTAGCAAACTGCTTGGTAACCTACAAGTTTGTTTCTTTGAGACATTACCATCTTTTTTTTTTTGACATTTGTGCAAGAGGCAAGGTGAATGCATACATATTAAAATGTTCACATTTAATGGGAAGACCACACACAAGGGCAGTCTAAATTGAACCCATTTTCAAGTATTTGTTCACAGATTCTTCTGAGTACTGTATCAGCTCTTGATACTGGTAAGGTAGCCCTTGGGAGCTACACATCGCTTTAGCTTCCAATAAAATAAATGGAATGACCAGCACCTTCCTTTGAATTTCAGGCCAATACACAGAAGCCTCGCTGCCGCCGCTACATGTGGCAAGTTCTGATGTTGCCAAAGTGACAGTCTCTTTGGCCACTTGGTTCTTTTAAAATACAAGCAAGTCTCTTGTCCTAAGGTACCCTTACAACATCATCCTCTCAACAACACGGACAGGATAAAGCCACACAGGAATAGCACACTCGATGCCTAGTAAGTGTATTTATTCAGTGGTCTGACAGATGTGGTTTGAGGAACAAAGGAAGGCTTTGGTGGCACATCAGGTTTTAAGGACGGTGTCCTCTTTAGTCCCGTCCTGGGAAGGGTACCATTACTGGTGTAGCTGCTCTGTCTGGAAAGGGAAGGCTGCAGATGAACACTCACGGGTGTCCCCTGAATGTAGTCCACCTTCGCCCCCGTGGGGGTGGGCATGTATCCTCCACGGTTCATGGTAGGCTGTCTAGATAACAAAACACCATTTGGTGAGTTTAAGTTTTTAGGCATAGCAGATATAGAGTGCCTCTGGGAAGAATTTTTGTGATAACCCCTTTGTCTTTCCAGAGAAGTCATTGGGACCCCAGGAGTGGTGGGGACGTCCACTCGCTTGGTTGGACTATTCCTGGGGAGTGTTGAAGGAGGTGAATAGAGTGATGCCTCCCGATTGGGGACCTTGGGTGGGACCTCAGACATAGGTCCCACGGGATCCAGCATTAGTGTCTGGTGGGCCATTTGGATGTCTCCCATGATGGCTTTGGGGTTACTGTTTGGGTCATTCAGATGTTTCAGGAGATCATTGAGGGTATTTCTGGAATCCACAGAACGCCGGTGATCTCTCTTACCTGATGACTTTGTAAGAGGGTGATCAATACTTTGAAGCTTCTTTTCAGCTTTATGAGCATTGGAGTTTGAGAAAGATGTATTGTAGTCATGGGTAGCATTGGGAAGAACAATGGCACTGGGGATATGCCCATGACTTAGTGGGGAGTGGGGTGGAGGACTAGAAGGAAAAAACTGGGGGGTTTCTTTCCTTGAAGCTGCATGGCCGTGGGCCTTGTCTGAATGGCCCTTCATGGCCTGCAGGGTCTTCTGGTGAAGCACAGGAGTAGACTCTGGTGTGGGGAGAGCGGCCAGCTCTGGAGGTTGGCCTCGATGGTCCATCACCATGGATTTTGTATCTCCACTGGGTGGCAGCTCTTTTCGACTGGTCAGCAGGTTACTATAGAGTTTAGGAGAATCAATATTCTGTTGGTATTCCTTGACGGGGCTGTCAAAGAGACCATTCAGTTTTGCAAAACTTCCACTGGAATCTGTGCATGACTGGGCGGATTCTGCGTCTTTATGGATCTTTCTGTTCTTCCGGACAAACATATCACGATAGCAGTATACTGCTACCCCTGCAATGAACGCCCCCAAAACAAAAGCAGCAAAGACACAGGTGATGAGGACGTTCATATGGACCATCTGGTTGGACTCTCCAGATTGGACTTCCCATCGCACACCTGCAACAGACACACAGGACAGGTTTGAATGAAGTGCTTTTAACAACAACATTAAACAGCAAATGGCTTCCACTGAGATAACACTACCTTCGACACTGTCCATGTGCTTAGCTTGGAGGGTCAGTTAGACTCCAAAATTCCACATATGTTATATATTTTTCTTTAGTCACAATAGGAGCCCCAGAACCACATATGATTGCTGCAGATACCAGAATAACTCTAATCTTCCATTAATCTATATTTTTCTGTTCTTTCCCCCGCCAATCACTCTTCTTAAATAGTTGTTAGAAATGTTAACAATTTCTGCCTTAAAAATAGAGTTACAAGTTATGTATTTTCTAAACAGCTAATTTTAATCCCATAAAATATTTTGTCTCATGATTTTCTCCTAATTCATAAGTCAGGATTAAAGGCAGCTGCTGTGATTAGGGAAATGTATGAGTTAGCATGAAGATATATTATGTTAAAATAATTATGGTTATACAATTATGTTAAATTAACTGGATAAAAACACATAAATTGGTCACAAACTTAAAGCATCTACTTGGTCATTGTTAGCTACATATAGCTAAATATACTTTTATGTTTGCTTTTTTTTTTTTTCATTCTATCTTGGGTGAAGCACTCTTGAATAACCTGCTATGTAAGAAATCCATACAGTGTAAGGAAATATATTATGCATTAGTTAAGTAATATTAAATTATTTGGAGGTATTTGAGAAATATTTAAATTAGACCTAGAAGGAGAAGATTGAAATAGTTTTTAATTATTGTAATTTGTAATGCAACCACAGACATCTAACAGTCAATCAAAGAAATGTTAGTTTAAGAGGTATCCAAGTCTGTTACACGCTATACACACAGTTGTCCCAGAATAAGTAAGTAGGAGGGATTTTGAAGATTGTGTTGTTTTAGGTTAGTATTAAGGCCTTTGAACATTAGTTGTTCAGGGTTATGGAATTCAGTGGCATAGTTAGAGACCAAGAAAGAAAAGCAAAAAGAAATGATGTTACTAAAGAAAACAAAGCAGAGAGAAGAATGATTATAAAATTGTTTACAATGAAAATATATAAAACCAAAATCAACAGAAGTAAATCATAATCGACAAAACAGTGCATAAAAACTGATTGGAAACCTGATACCATGGTTTAGTAAGCACTAAGGAATAGATTTTTTTTTTTTCTGGAGTAATATATCTAATAAGCAAAGGCAATAGGCAGCTATTTTATAACTGCTGCTGTTATGGACTGAAAGTGATAGTTACGGACAAGTGCTCTGTTATGCTTTATTGCTTGTGGCATTCAAGCAACTTGTCACCTCACATATCCTTTTAATATTGCACTTTGGATTGAAGCTAAACGAGAGGCTGGGAAAGGCTCCTAGACAAAACATCTGATATGAGGATATTTGCAATTAGTGAGTTTTGTTTTTTGATGTTGCAAGGGCAACCCTCGAAATTCTCTGATATTCAACAGCCTCTCAGCTTCCCCAGACAGAAATCAACACAGATTAGATTGTCTGAGTGGCTGTTTCACGAGCCATGTCTTCAACAGCTTTCCACCCCTTTCATCTCTGCACAAATGCACTCAGATATAACCACAGAATGCCAGAGTCTCTGTGGCCAGTGGAACTGGAGGGGCAGTAAGAGCAGCTCCACTTGGATCCACCTTAGAAGGGCACCCTTTTTGGAGATGTTAGGAATCAGGTTTCTGCACAGTTAGAGATGAGTTCCCTGATGTGGCCTTACCCTTTGGGATACCCGATAAAGGATCAGAAAAATCAGAAGTGTTTGGGTCATCTTGAACTACAAATTTCCGGGAGCTCGTCAGTTTAGGTCTCCAGGTATCAATCACTTTGGGTGTAATTTCTGGGATACTTGCCACTGTGATAACAGAAGATGAAGATACCTCCATGTCTGTGGTGGCAAACAGATGTTCATTAACATGGGCAATAGCAGAATGCTTTTCTGATTGGTCTGTTGCATTTTTAAGTAAACTTTAAGTTAATGTAATGAGAAATCTTGTTCTAAGATTTTGTACAAACACACCTGAGGAAACTACACCAAATCCCTTTTTTTCAAGGGATGAATAGAACCTCAAATTTAACAGTAAAGACACTTTAAGCAGATTTCAAAAGACATTAAGCCATTCCTACTGAAGTCTGTGTGGTATTAATGCTGCCCATGGAAAAGCTAACAGAAATCCCAGTGCAGATTATTTGCCATTTTCTCATTCTCTTGTGTGACAACATCATTTCCTCTCTCTCTCTCTCTCTCTCTCTCTGTGTGTGTGTGTGTATTTTAAACAGTACTTTCCTAGATGGTTGGAAACTTTATTTCCTTTGCTGGGGAAGCTACAATGTAATTTCATCATAAAATAAATGGTTAAGTCTGAGTAAACACTTGATTTTGGACCTGATAAACCAGCCCTGCCTGAGAGATTGTTCTGCTTTTTCACTGGCCTCCTGTCTATCTGTAGACTTCTCAACTGCACTGAGGGCCTCCTGTCCACAGTAAAGTACCATGTTCTTCAAAATGCCTGGGGAATTTCTTCCAAAGAGTTAGCATCAACTCACGCAAAAATAAATGGTATTTACAAATAGAATAAGGGTGTTCTGATACATAAGATCTGCTATCCTTTTCTCCCTCCTGAGAAATGAAATCACAGTGTGTCCCAGAAGAAGCAATAGAACTGAGAATAACTTAACCTTTTAGCAGACCTGTTATTGATTTCTACCAAGTAGATTTCCTCCAAATGTAGGCCAATGCTTTCAGGCTAAAACAGAGACCCCAACTAGGAATGGTGCCATAGTCACAAACTGAGGCTCTTCAACAGATATAGACAGAGGATGTGGAGAGCCCATGGACATCGTAGTACATCAAAACCCAGCAGAAGCCTTTTTCACAGCACTGACTCCATGACATTCAGAGATCCCAGGATTCCCACAAAACATTCAAAAAAGGTCTTTAAAACTCATAAATACACATTTTTTTTGGAGGGAAATGTGTATTTGTTTACTAGGTCTTAGGGAAGGTGAGAAGGGGAAAATTATGAGATCCTGCCATCCATTCAACACAGATGGCCACAGGGAACATTCATGATGCAAAGGTGAGAAAGAAGGAAGCTCGGGTGGGCGTGCGTGCAGCTGGAATGCAGTTCATGTCAACCCACTTGACTTTTCTTAAGGGGTGTGCCTTGTCAATGATGACTGTTAACATGCTACACAGGGGGAAGTGCTGAGTGAGAAATAGTCTTCTGGTGCCGTCAGTGGGATTATGAGTCAAAGCAGAAAAATGAAGGGCTGCCAAACTGCGCAAAAGGAGGGGAGAAGGGGCTGAAAATGCTGAACTGAAGGAAAGAAAAGGTTGTTAATTCAAAAAAATGAAAAAAAACTAACCAGATGTTGGACCGCCAAATATTTTGTAATCTGGTGTAGTTGAAGTAGGCAAAATTTCTAAAAGAATTAAAGGAACAAGTAATCAGTAAAAAGTAACCAAATGAAAGCAAAAATTTATGAATTCCAATTAACTAAAAAAGTCAAAAGAAAAGACTACAAACTAAAAGATTAACCTACTGGTTAGACTACTCTTCTCTAGATTTTCTACAAAATTGTAAATGGTGAAGAAAAATAAAAATTAAAAAAAAAAAAGTAAGATTCTTTTCTAATGTATCCCCATGACCAAACGGCTCAGCTTTTGCGAAGTTCAAGTTAAATGCTAGGTGGTATGTGTCCCAAGTCATTAAAAGGCTGATTGTAAAATAATGTTCACGTGCAAATGTCAAAAGAAGAGACAGGAGGGAATGGAAGAGTGCGTCTTACCATGGCAATCCCCTAGATGGGCCGTGTTGCCATATTCTGTGTCTTGTTCATATCCTCCAACGCTGTGGTTATGGAAAGCAAAGAAGTCTTCAGTTAGCGGCCTTCATAGGAACACAAGTGACATCCAGAGCAGAACCAAGAACACAGACTGATTAGTAAGAACGGGCAGAGACAACCAATCCACATTTCAACATAGCTAAAATGGCTATTTCTGTTCAAATTTTAGGAGAACGTGTAACAGAATAGAAGTGTATTTTTTTTTCTGCTTCCCTTTTCCATAAATATTACCATGTCTACAATTTCCCAACCCTCTTACATTTCAGGTTTTCTTTTATCCTTCTCCCATATCAAAAAAAAAAAAAAAAAAAGAAAGAAAAAGAAAGACCAAAACAATAACAACAACAGCGAACAAACAAACAAGAGAGCAAAAGAAAAGAGAAAAGTAGTGTAACAGTTACGTTTTCTAAGATTTCCAGCTTTAGAGACCTGGAGGAGACAGTTCATAGTTAATATGGCAGAGTGTACTTACAGCATCCCTGGGGTCACTCTCCCACAGGTTCCCTGGCTTAACCAGCCACAGTATGGGTCACGAGATGCAATACAAGATCTGTATGAAACCAAAAAGAATGTGGCGTGAATTTTCTCATCATCCAAGGTTTTGAGACTATAAACCCCTGTGTACCTAAAGAAACAGGATCTTACTTTTTACATGATCCATACCGCTCGCAGCGGCTCAGGGGGATGCGGATAACGCAGCTGGAGAACGCCACATACAACGCGTGGTGGTCTTTATCCAGCTGTAATGAGATGACCTTTTTGTCTTCTTCGTTCTCAGCATTGCACCTATTTTATGGGATACATGTTGAAGTCATAGGTTTAGTCAATCAAAAACGACACAAAACTATACAAAGCAGGTGTGGTTTGGTGTTGCAATTCCAGAGAACTGGGGAAATCCTAAGGAATAGTCTTGGTAACAAACCAGGCAAGGACACAGTTTGGGAATTAATAATTTATGTGATTCATCTGCTATGTCTTTGCATGGATGGCTAAGTTTCAGGCTGGACATGGGTTTATAAAGATTGTTTTCCTGTTAGGATGCTCAAAGGGAATTGCATACGTGAAGGACATGTTGGACCCTAAGGAATTCAAAGGATAATGATTCATGAATTTAAATCTTTCCATGCAACATGTTTCTGGATCTCTCCTAAGTCTCCTTTGCTTCATGTTATGTTTGTTTTAATTTTCCAAATAATCTCTTATATTTTACTGGTTGGAAGAAAATGCAAAACTATAAATATATTCTGTGCATGTGTGTGCTTGCAACCAACTGTCTGCCACATGTAGCATCCTGAAATATATCTACAAGGTAAGAGGGGTACTGCTAAAATGTTCTCATTTTCCACAGGTGAAAAACAGGGCTGAATTATTTTTAAACTTATCAACTGTTCATCTTCCTTGCCTTAGTGAGCTAAGGAACAAAAAACAAACACACACACAAACAAACAAACAAACAACAACAACAAAAAACTAAAGAAGTCCAGGACTTATTTCAGTGAGGGAAAAAAAAAATCACTAATATGCCAAACCACCACTAATTCAGAGAGCTGAAAGGAAATGACTAGCTGAAATATTCAGGAAATTTTTGGATAGTGCTGAAGAGCGTTCTCGTAAAATATACGTACTTTGCATGGTTGTAAGCTTCAATCTCTTCCAGTAATACGCTGTCATTCAAAGAGAAAGGATTGGTCTTTGCCAAAACTTTAAGTACCACACCGGCTTCAGAGCCAACAAAGATGACTGTGTAGTTCTGGTGGGGCCCTGCAGAACGGTCCACGGCGATGGCCGTCAATCTGTACCTGTCAGAGAAGGTGGGGAAGTCAGAGCTGGATGCCAACAGCAAGAGAACAGGCAATATGCCAACGGGTCCCTGTTGCCCATGCAATCTCACCTGACCCGCGTCTTTGTGAACCAGGGCTCGTCAGCAATAGGTGGAACAGCAGAGTCCATCAGGGGGTGGGATTTGATGAAGGACAAGGTTTCATCCGGGAAATCGATGGAGGTTTTGTAAGCTTCGGCAAGGCCATGTTTTGCACAACAGCCAGGCCTGAAAGGAAAACAGTACTCATTTATCACCACCCCACCCCAACTATATAGAGGAGTAAGTGCACATTTTGAAAGAAGAGGTCAAGAAAGCAAAGAGAGTCAGCAAAACCAGAGAAGCAATCTATTACCCTGAATTCAATGGGTTCTTCACATTCACATTCTTGGGGTGGTAGGTTACAGGGTCATGTTTACTGATTTTGTCAGAGAATTGCATAGGACCCCTTCCTGGTATGGGAGGTTGGCCCAGCTGTTCTCTGAGGATGGATGGATGAGGCTACCAATGTCCACAGGGTTTTGTTCAAGACAAAAAATCCTTTTCAATGCTTTTCTTTACCTTGGTTTTGGAACTTTATCTTCAGGGACTGCTGTCCAAACAGAATCTGGTGTTTTCTGTTCTTTGAACCGACCTTTGAATACTTTTTCAATGTCATCCATGCTAAATGCACAGACTGCAGAACCAGGAATGCTAAAAGAGAGAGAGAGAAAGAAAGAAAGCCATCAAGAAGAGGCTGGTGACAACGGGCCCATGCTTGGTTCTGACAAGCAAGCTTTGAAGTGCCAGGGATCTGTTCTTACCTGTTGAGCTGAGTGGTAAACACCCCTACCACAGTGGGGATGCCATTGATTTGTATTATGTCTGTAATAGACTGCAGAACATCAAAGTAGAAAAACGAATCTCCAGGGACAGAACAGTTAAGCCTTGCCTTCAGAAATGATGTCCAGTGTTTCTCCAGTACCCGCTGGGAGCCACCCATGTCGTTTTTACATATGCGGGCCACACGGGAATAGACAGCCTGCCCAGGGACAAAAGCGAAGCAAGGGGGTTAGGAACAAGGAAGAGGAATGGAGACAAAATGCTGCTATTTCAGGGAGGGGCAGAAAATGCTAAAGATATCTGGTTCAAAAGAATCTAGCAGCCTTCTCTCTAGGGGTCTGTATGGTAAGAATGTAAACTAGATTTACCTGCAAGTAAAGAGGACCAATTTCTTATTCTGCCAAAATTGCTCCCCAGACCTGAGCTATCTGTCTGCCTGCTGAATGAAAATCATTCCTACTCTTTTCTAACTTTGCTTCTCATACTGTTAATGAAATGTGGCATAGAAGGGACTGCAATGCTTTGAGATCACATGTGTTTTTTCTTTTTCTTTTTTTTTTACTGAAACACTTTAAATTGAACAGGAGTCTCTACTTTCTATATTGCCTTTTGACACTGAAAAAAAGTCTCCACTATGAATGGATTTCAAGAGAGTAAAAGGAGCCTCCACAGCTCAAGGGTACCTGTAGAACATTCTCTATGGTGACAGAAAAGAAATGAAAACGTCTCAAGGCCCAAGACTGCTGTTACCACTCTGGCCATTGTTCAGGTGTTTTCTAGCAATTATTCTCACCATAAGCAACCCAGCTCTGAACTTGGCCTTACATGCATTGAACTGAGTGCTGGAAAACATGCTAAGAGAGCATCCATAATTACCAAAGTGGTCTCAATTCCATGCAGTATAAGTCCACAATACAAATCAAGTACATATACTTGCCTTGCCTAAATTATTATGTTCTACAGCAATTTCTCGAAAGAAGAAATAGACATAGTTTCCGTATTCTATGGCATGAAGAAAGTGTGGCTCTGAAAGAAAAATGGAAAATGAACTGGTTCCTAAAGGATAATTTAATTAGCATATGACCCCGACTGCTAGGTATGACTGACAGATGTTGCATAGTTACATTCAAGGCCATGATTTAGAGGAGTCCCAATATGGGTGCGTTCAAGCTTCAGGGAACCCACCGTCTTCAAAGTCAGCTAATGGACTGTAAAAAGGCCTGCAGGGAACTGAACCTCAGCAAAGGTCTTTGTTTCAACAGATTTATTCATTAACCTATTTAACTAGGGAAAAAAACTCTTACACTGAGAATAAAAAAAAAAAAAAAAAACTCAACTTCTAAAATCTAAAGAACAAAACGACTACAGATATAGACTAATCAATTAACTTTCCAAGACAGGTAAAAAGGAGTGAGCACATAGTATTATATGCATTTAGAGTTAGACAAATCAGTACATCAAGAGAAGATGGGTCTCATTTTGTTTTGCTTTGAGGTCATCTTTGGATAAAGGCCTGGATGAACTAACTCTCCTGACATGCCTACTAGTCTCCTCAATCCTCACAGAGGCTCTCATTCACCAAAGCAGGTGTCCTTATTCCAGATGAACAATATAAAGTCATGCACTGAGCTTCCTGATGGCCTTGGCTACTCTTCCCACATGAGTTATCCCACTATTCTCGGCGACCCCACGCCATTGCTCTTCAAAGGTACCTTTTATCCATTTGGAATCATATTTTATTGTGCGAAGGGCAGATCCATCACCCATGCTTCGATAAATTACAGCATCACTGGCCAAGAAGTCAGCCACTGTGGCAGAATACAGCTTCCCATCTGAAACCGAAGTTATAATTTGGTAAAATAACCATAATTATCCTGCAGTGTGTCAGCCTACCTAGCATGCTGTACCTTCTGTGGTGCTTTCACCTGTGTTACCATTATCTACACGACAAACCTGCACCTGATGCTCACAATCAACCTCTGTTTGGCCCAGGGCATTACTTAATTTTATAGATTAGGGATCTAAATATCAAAAGCTAAGCAACTTATTCAAGGTCACTGGCTTAGTTGACAACAAAGCCACGTGTTCAGAATACCTGAGCACCATAATATCCTTGCTTTTAATTTCCTCTTTAAAATTTTTGTTCATAGATTTCAGCCTTTGAAATGCTGGTGTCAAGGTGTCTATGAGCTTTTTTTCTTCCTTTAAATTCTTCTGCACCTTCTGCACCATGGATCATTTATATTCATTACACTAAAGGTTCTTACCAGCAAAGAGGGCAACATTGGTTTGTCTGGCATCAAATGGGCATCGTGCCAGGCCACTAATTTCTTCTCCATCGTACTCTAAGGTATTCAACTACAAAAGCAAAATAAATAGCTGGTGTCACATCTGTTCAATGTACCTGTTTGAAAGCAATATTGCTTTATTTGCATTGAAATTCTATTTGAAGAATTCTGTTTTTATTCTTTTCTAGCATTAGCGATAAAACAAATTACTGAGTTATAGCGGAAAGGATCCAACTCTAACAGCATACCAGTGAGGGAAAAACCAGTGATCAAAAGAAGCACATCATATAAAATATACTTACCCTATAGTATCTACACATAGGATTGAATGCGTTGGTACCACAAACAAAAACCATCTCATCATTTCTTGGAACAAATACTTTGATAAAGTTGTGGCATTCATCCTAAGAAAAGATAATAATTAATATTAGATATTTCACATGCTGACATTGTGGTATCACAAAGCCCACAAAAAGACTGAGTAGGGCAGGCCCTGTGAACTCACTTTATGTTTGCCTTTCATAGCACAGTTTTCTCTATCCTGTTGTCTTGACCTCCATGTCAGTTTCTGTATTAATCAAGCAAAATCAAAAGTTCAATTTTTAACAGATCATTTTTGGCAAGGAGGGGGGGCATTATTCAGTTTCTGAGAGAAAGAAAATTAATTTGCCATAGTTGCTCACCTTGCTTGGTATTACTTCTGTTTTGGGGATTTCATTTAAGTTTACTGTATAAACTTGATCCCTGTTGGAAACAAGGCAATAAGTCATATCATGTGAATGTATAAAAATGTTAAGCTGCTTCTTATTTTATTTTTACAGATCTGCCTTTATTATGTTTTGGAGATCAGCTGGATTTTCGATATCTCAAACAAAGTCAACAAAGAGTACTTTTTCATTAGTGAGATGCTTTTATATATCATTGTAGTCAAGGAGCTAAGAAAGCTCTTCTCTCTAGGCATGGGTCAAACTGCTACTTGATATTAGCATAGACATATTTCTAATATTTGCTTGAATAATTCTAAGTTAAAAAAGAATAAAGAGAGATTTTTTTTTCCCCTGCTGCTTTAGGAAAAAAGAATGGTGAGTGATTTCTTGATGGCAATAATAAAATAGCACTGCTGAAGGCTTTAGCTCTGTATTTTGTTCCTGGTACACAACACTGACTCTTCTCGGTGAATATTTTTGGCTACTTGCAATTCTTGATCACAATCACATATTAGTTTTTCATGAACTAGACACATTAATGCAAGCACCACAAGAGAAAAGAATTTTAATCTAATAAACCAACGAGAGGAAAATTACCTGCCAGCAATATAAAGTGTGTCTCGAATTTTCAACATCAGCTGAAAGTCCAGCCTGTGCTGCGATTCATTGCCTGAAGGGCGTCCTCTAAAAACCGGATATTGCCTTGAATCTGCAAGTAAAAATGGGCTAAATCATCAGTCAGGATTATGGAGCTGAAGAATCAATATACAGCATTGATTAGCTGTATATACTAGTTGTAGAAGGGTTTTAACTAAATTCCTCTCTTAAGGTCTTGAATATAAATGAATAAAAGACGATGAATGTCAGCAAATGGCTTTTTTCTTTTTACTGAAAATAAACAACCTATATACATGGATTGCTGCAGAAAAGCACCCCAAACTGCCCCATTGTCTCCAAACACTAGGAAATGATTATAGGTAAATTAATATGCAAAACATTTTAAAGACACGAAAATCTCTCTGAAAATAGATATACTTGGAAAATTTAAAAAAAAATCCTTTCTAGAAAAGGAGCTGCTCTGGATGACTTACAGTGATAGTCGACAGTATTGAGGGGCTCATCGTCTTCAGGAAAGCTGACGGCCCTCAACTGAGGAATCATCAGGAGCAGCATGTAGACACAAAGCAGGAAGAATCTCATGGTGGGCCACAAGGAAGTCAGGGCAGCCCCCTCCTCAGAAATCTCACTTAGCTACCTGGAAAACAGAAGCAGGTAAAAAATTTGGAAAAATTTCCAAAAAATTTAGAAAGATCACTACACTCTCATGAAACTGCTTTCTCATTTGTAATCAGATCTATTTTCACCCCCAACTCCTTCCAAGGCACCCCTTCCATCAGGGATGCTGGTGGTGGTGGATCAGGTATTTCCAAAAACACAGGCAAAAGATGGCAGTGTGCCAGATTTGGTTAAAGCGTCTGGTGAGCATATTGCTACTTTAGGCAAACTGACCAGAAGTTTTGAGGTAACTACTCTGCACCCCTTCCCCCAGTCGTGAAATATATCCAACACAGGTTGTCTAAAATGCCCAAGCTGCCTCAAAAATATCCAGAGAGCTGAGACACTGTCATCCCTCACTGGCATTTGGCTTAAGGTGTTGCTGAGTTCCCAGCATTACCAAGCCTTTGCCTAAATTTTTAGCTCCTGAAGCTTAAGACCAACATGGACATGATGCCATGAGTGACCTTGAATCAGGGGTGAAAGGGAAAGAAATGAAATGATTTCATGACAACCAATCAAGCAAAGCAAGGAGGGACGAAGCAGCACAGCTGACACCCGGCCACTAGGGACATCTACATTTTTACATAAAACCATTTGGACACAAACCAATACCCTAAGTACGCCTGTCCTCTTAGCTTTATTGGACTTGAGAGCTATAAGGGGCCTTAGGGACCATCAAGTACAACCCCCTCGTTTTTCAGATGAGAAAACTAAGGGAAAATAAAGGGACTCAGTGAATTGCATGGAGCTAGTCAGGACAGGACTCAGCTGGGTCCCTGTCTAGGTTTTTTTCTCCAGGGTAGGTAGAGAAGATAAATGACTGGATTTTTTACTTCAAAAACATAGCATCACAAAAAGACTTTGGCAGAAGGAGGGGCATATATATATTCATCATTTTTATTGAAGTGATGTTTCACAGGTGGTTAAATTGTACATTAAATATGTATAGTTTACTGTATGTCAATACTTCAATATAGCTATAAAAGCAGAACATTAAATTGTATAATAATTGCAGTAAAAATTTAAAAGATCTTTAAATGTTGTCAACTTATTACTTATTAAAAAATAAATTAGGACCCTGTGAGCCCATGGGAAGGGCATTTCTATGAAACTGTAAAGGATCCATTTTGCAACAATACTATCTCTTCTGGAACCAAAATTGTCACTTCTGGCTACTATATTGAGCATAAAACATTTAGCTTTATCCTCAGTCCTATATACCTAGGAAGTTTTAAGGTGAGTACAAAGAACCACTTCAAATTCTGTGTAATCCAATCACTCAACCAAGTACTGCCTGTTTTACCTACTTAATATCAAATATACAGGTGTGTGCACATGAATGCTGTGCAATATTTCTGTGATTAAAATAAAAATCAAGTATATGTGAATTTTATAAATCTAGTTTTGCAAGGAAAGAATACTATTCTAGTAAAATTTTTCTTAATGGATGGTTAATCCAGCAGCAAATTAGTGTTTTTAAAATGCTTTACAAAAAAGGCTGACAAAAAGCGTGGCTTTTGAAGTCATCTGGCTACATAGCAGATTCTGAGCAAAGTTATACCTACTTATAACCAGGCTGATGTTAAGAGTCTGAACAAGATTTGGGAAAAAAGATATCTTAAATATTAAAGTGATCTGCTCTCCCTTCGCACCCCCACAAATGAATAGTTATTCTACAAATTCTTTACAACTTGTGCCTATTTATCATGCATAGAAGATGAAGTTTAAAAAAAAAAGATACCACTATTCCACAATCCAAACTCAATAGCTATGCTAATTTGGTTCTTTTATTGGGGTGGGTAGTATGGGGGATTGAACTCAGGCGCACTCTACTACTGAACTATAACCACAGCCTTTTATTTTATTTTTTTATTTTGAGATGGGATCATGTTCAGCTTCCAAGACTGGCCTCAAACTTGGGATCCTCCAGTCTCAGCCTCCTGAGTAGCTGAGATTACAGGCAAGCGCCACTGCACCCAGCTGGTTCTCGTTTTTTTTTTTTGCCATATGCATATGTTTTCAATTGTTATGACAAGATGGCTTTTTTCTATCTCCTACGTCTCTGTCTCCAGAAGCAGCATTTCCCTGTCTTGCTTTTCCAAAGTGTTTTACCACTTACAAAGGCTCTAGAGAGTTGAAGCATAAAATAAAATGGAAAAATGTTGCCCTTAGAAGTAGATTCTGCTATGGCACCCATTCCAAACTTCGCCCTCTAGGTGGAAAGTCACTGGATCCTTCTACTGGGTCTCAGGAAAAAGAAATAACCACGATTTCTAAGGAAATGTGGAAATATCTGCATGAAAACAACAAAATAGTTCTGTGAATATTCCTCCTCCATCACAGGTAAGTGAATGGCTCATATCAAGTAGGCAAGTCCCAGAGAGCAGGTCTCTCAGCTGTGTCCCACGACTCAAGCTGAGATGGACTCCCTGCTGACTCACTGGCAAGCACAGAGCTGCCGGCTGAACTATCATTTCCTGTAACTCATTCATTTGACATTGCAGAAAGCACTTTCTCCCCACACCCCACCTCTTGCCAACCTAACCCTCCAAAAATAAAGCTGTGCCACTAACTGCTTTCTGTCCCTACATAAAGCTTTATTTAAAAAATACTTACAGATTTGCTGTAGAAGTTATAAACAGAAATATTTAATGTTCTACATATATTCAAATAAGGCTAGGTGAGAACAGAAAGAATCTGGAAATATATGAGAAAAGTGTCCCAAGAAGGAGAATTTTATGTAAGTGAATCCTTCAGACTACTTAGTCCTCACTATTTAAGGAAGAACCCCAGGATTTCAGGGCTCAGTAAAATCAGAAAACTAGTTATGTTGAATGAGGACAAGCCCAGAGGCAAGACAAATTATTAGACAAGAACATGGTCCTTGAGATTAGAAAAGCCTGAGTTCAAACCGATTTATACCATTTACTTCCTGGCTCTCAATCTTATTTAAGTTGACTGACTCTAGGACTCAGTTTCCTCAAGTTTAAAATGAGAGTAATTATCTTTACTACCTCATCAGATCTTCTTAGGGTTAAATGAGATAATCTATATAAAGCATCTAACACAGAACTTGGTTTGTAGTAAATTTCTAGTAAAATTCAGTAAACATTATGACTATTATTGTTAACATCTCATTGGACAGAAAGAATTTTAAAAAGCAATTTTCACTTGTTTATCTTGTATAGCTATTTGAAAATTTATGTATGTCCTTGTAACAATGACAGAGGTTTTCCTAGAGGATAAGGTACCTCTTCTTAAATCTAGATGCCCACTAATACAAGGAGGGACTTACTCTTCTCCTGTGTAAACTGATATTGAAGATCATATTTCTATGAGGTTATTGTTTTTAGTCAGAGAGCAAGGTACCCAAGTAAGCATGTTTTGTCAATTTTTTTGGCATTACATTCTCCCACAAATTCCTAATGTTGAATCCCAAATACAATGAGGAAAGCTCTTAAAAGGAATTCTGAGCAGCCAAGACATTTTGTATTTGAGTGGCATGATTCTCCAGAGAAGAGAGGTGCAAGGAACCATACTCAGCACTTGATTTTACTCTGGGGGATTTACTCATCCTTAAGGTCTATACAAATGTGAGTGTAGCTAAAAATGAGAGTCATATTTTTGGAGTCTTGAGCTTAGGAAAAACTACAAGCAAACATCCAAGGGTTCTCTGATAAGCTGCTCTACAAGAAAAACAAGAGGGGAGCTTTATAAGAATTCCACCCCAATCTCCAACAATTTAAATTCCAAGTTGGGAGTGTATGATCTCTCAATCTATGGCTTGCCTGAAAAGATAAGGTGAAATTTTTCTAGAGAAAGATAACATCATCCAGAGAATAGCTTTTTTTTTTTTTTAAACATGCAATGTTCAATATTCATTCCAATACTAAGAGAAAAATAAAATAAAACAACAGAAGTAGGCCCAAAGATAACTCGGATATTACAGTTATCAGACATATGTTTAAAAAATAACTGTACTTATTTTATCAAAGAATAAATATAATGAGATGTAGAATTTCACCAGAGAATTGGAATCCACTAAAAAGAACCAAATGGAAACTCTATGACTAAAAACACAATAATGAAAACTTCCTAATAGATGTGTTTAGCAACATATTGGTCTTAGCTGAAGAGAAGATTAATAAACTGGAAAATTGGTTGATAGAAATATCACACATGAACAACCCACAATAAAAAATTAAAAAAAAAAAAAAAGATAAGATTATGCTAAGAGAAGTTAGCAAACCCGCCCCCCCCCAAAAAAAAAAAAAAGAAATATCACACAAAACCAAAACCCTAGAAAAAACAAATCACAAAATAAGAGATACGCATAATCTTGTGGAACTATCTAACACTGGAGTTGCTGAGAGTGAAGAGACAGAAATAAATAGGAGCAATATTTGACAAGATTAACAGCCGCTTTCTTTTTTAAAAATTGACAAAGGTCCACAAGCCAAGAACTTCTAAATACCAAGAAAATCACTTAGAAATATCGTAATCAGCCAGGTGTGGTGGTACACGCCTATAATCTCAGTGACTCTGGAGGCTGAGGCGGGAGTACCGCAAATTCAAGGCCAGCCTCGGCAACTTAGTAAGGCTGTAAGCAACTTAGCAAGACCCTATTTCAAAATAAAAAATAAAAAGGATGGGGGATGAGGCTCAGCAGAAAACCTCCTGGGGGTTAAAACCCAAAACAAAAAAAAAAAAAAAAAAAAGGAAAAGAAAAAAAAGAAACATCATAATCATTAAAATGGTGAAAACAGTGGTAAATTTTAAAAAAGTTAAAAGATATATTACCTTCAGAAAAGCAAGAATAATCCTGACAGCTGACTTATCAATAGAAACAATGGAAAGCAGAATAAGATTTTTAAAGTGCCAAAAGAAAATAAATTTATAGCCTAGAATTTTATAACCAGTAAAAACAATTTATAAAAGGAAAAAAAAAATAAGGGTGCTTTAGACAAATAAAAACTT